GCCTCAGCTGCTCTCAGCTCACGGCGCCTCGCCCCGCAGAGCCGTGTCCCAAGTGCGAACACCCCCGCGCCTACTTCATGCAGATCCAGACGCGTTCGGCCGACGAGCCCATGACCACCTTCTACAAGTGCTGCAACGCGCAGTGCGGGCACCGGTGGCGGGACTGAGGGCCCTGAGCGGCCTGAGGGGCCTGAGGGGCCTGAGGGGCCTGAGGGCCCTGAGCGGCCCGGGCTGCTCTCCCGCGCGAAGCAGAGGAGCTGGGCCTGGGAGCACAAGGCCCGCGGGGAGGGGATGGGGGTGTGTTCTGCAATAAACACCTCGCTGGGTGGATGGAACCGTCTGCTGTGTGGTTGCTTCGAAGCCTGGCCTGGAGAAGAGGCTGCCAAGCGCCCCTGTGGGGGCATCAGGAGACACCGCGGGGCCCTGATTTCACAAAGTGCAGGAGTTCTAAAAGCACACACCATAAATAGTGCCACACACACCAAGCCACCAGTGTTCAAAATAAAGACAGACTTTAAGATAGCTAAGCTAAGGCATAGTTACCAGAGCAGAAGGCAGAGCAAAGGTAAGATGTTACTGCTGTGGCTGTAGGGGGAGGAAAATAACAGGGGGCCTTTGCTGTGCCTTGTGAAAACCATGTAAGATAAAGCAGAAACTGTGAACCATATTGCTCTACTGTGAACTAGATGCTCTACAAGCCATTACAGGTAAAAAGAGAATATACTTCAAGTGGAATTAAATAACTGCTTCTCTCAATATTAAGCTTTATTCTCAGTTTAAATACATTCAGAAGTAAAAAGGATAAATAACTTAATAAAAACTCGATGGAGCAGAAACTGATACTTAAAACAATCCAGTACAACTCAGCTTTACCTCTTTCATACCGGGATAATCTGCACCCATTTGTTCCAGTTCATTTCTGAAGGGAACACTCTTCCCAGCCTGAGAGTACAGTCAATGGTAGGCTCATAGTATATTGTTGGGGTTTCGCTCAGTTTGGGATTGTTGAGTTGTTCTTCCACAACTGGCTCAGAAAACAGTGACACCAGGGATGGCTTTTTCATGTAGAAGCGTTTGATGCAGCCAAGAGTTTCCAGACCCTGCAGAAAAATTTGTGTTTTAGCTTGAGCCGTTGCAGAGGAAAAAAAAATAATGTAGTAACTGCTCTTCTACCTAAAGCATTCTCAGAAATGACAATTTTTACTGAGACTGTGGGGATGGCAAAGATGACAGCACAACTAAGCAAGATATGGATATGGCCTGTGTCCTTTCAGCACAGTGGTTGACATCAGGATACTGAAACATGTTCAGCAACAGATCTCAACGTGAAGGAGCAGTTACTAATCGTTTAAAACTGGTATAGGTGTAAATCCCAGGATTCTGGGTCAGTTGTTGCTAATGGGTTAGCATTCATTGCACGTTGAGTTGTATCTAAATTTACTAATACTTGGTATAGCAGATACAAGCTCTGTCTATCGTTTAAAAAACAGGTCTTATAGAATGTGTTGCTAGATAAGCTCGATTCAAATTCTCCAGTTTGTAAAGTGTACAGGTAATTCCTTGACTTTATGGATTTGAGTAAGAGCTGCCTAGGGGTCTGTATTTGCTCTGCCACATCTGTGCCTCACCACTCTAGGCTGTACTGCTGTCCTAAACCTGCCTGCTGCTGCTCTGCCTGTGCCCTGGTCCCAGCAACCCTCGTCAGGGCACGTGGACAAGCTGTGGTGGAACACCTAGGGCACAGGATGGTTGCTCAGTGTGGGATCAGTAATGTACACAGCTTGCATTGTTACCAAAATGCATAAGCCTTTGGACACAAGTGTGGCACACACACTGCAATAATAATTTCCAGCATTAGCAGGGGAAGTAATGATTACAGGAAGGACTGCAGTGTTACTACAATACTTAAGTCTTTTAATCCTTATAGGAAAAAAAAATAAAAATCATTCAGTGTTTTGTTTGCAAAGCAGTAGTGGTGGTAGTTAACTTAAAGATGAAGGGGAAAAAATAGAGAAATTCTCATTTTCTCACCAGGTACTGTTTTACAGTTAAGGATGTATGTATTCCTTTAGGAGGTCTGTCAGGATAAGTCTTATTTACAGCACTGTCTAGCACAGACACATTTCAGGCTGATTCTTATGTCAAAGACTACCCATCTAAATGGTATATAAGGAAACAATAAGAAATTCTATGGTGATTGACACTGCAGTAAACAGCCCAACTTGGTATTTCTCAATGCCAAGCCACCACTTCAGTAAACAACTAGAATTTCAACTGCACATTGATCCATTTCAGAGGCAATCTCAAATTTTAAAGTGACTAATAAAGTCATTCCAAGGATGGGGAAAGCAGGCTTCCCTCCATCCTCATGTGAACTTTCTCTGGCTCTGCCTAATTTACACCAACGGGAGAAGGTTGTTTTTCATGGTTCATTCACAGTCCCGTTTTCCTGACCCTTCCAGCTCTTAACAGCAGGAGCTGAAGCAGAGGAAGTTCCCTCAGCTGCTGATCCACATACCTGCAGTATCTCCAAGACAGCAACAGGCTGCAGTACCCCCAGGTAGTGCTGCAGCAACATGCCCTCTGTGATGCCTGGCTTTGTCATGATGTGGTAAAGCACAGCTTCCATCATCCCCTTACACACAGGCTTGTTCAGATTCCCATCCACGATCCTCCACGGCCTCCCGATGAAGGAGACATTCTCACAGGCCCTGCAAAAGACAATTTAAGTTCTTAAGCTCTGCTAATAATTATTCTTCTAGCTTGATTTGCCATCATCACTTCTGCATAATGGAGATTCTTTCTGCATCCGTTGCCAGTGTTTGATCACATCTCAAGGAAATTCTGCAGCTGCTCTGAGAATGGGCAGAGACCTGTGCTAATCTACCAGACAGATCCACAGCTCTGAAGTATTACACACTAGGTGTTCACCACTTGAGAAGCACTTTTCCACCACTGTACCACCCAACCATTACCTTGAGTCTTGATGACCAGGAAAGCTTTTTGCTGTTTGTTATTAGCTCTAATAGCCTCCAAAAGTTACCCAAGACCTGCTTCAACATGCAACACTCAACAACGGTGCTCAGATAGGAAACAGAATTCCTAATTTTTTGCTTTTCAGAGTCAAATAACAGACCGTGCATGGAAATCCAGGCCTTTCCTGGGCACATGGAAGCTGTGACTTTCTGACACTGGACTTACTTGAGAAAGAAAATGAGTTTTGTTCCTGTGATATTTGGAGCTAGTGGGTTTTTGGAAAAAAAGTCCCACATACCTGATTTTTTTTCAGCAGGCATATGAGCATGAGTAACATTAACAAGAAGAATAGAGGAAATGTGGTTTCTCCATCATCAATGCTCACTGCCCATCAGAGCATAAAACTAAGGTTTCCAAATCATTTGCTTTCAGGTATTATTTTGGTAGTGCCAAGTGTTTAGTTACTCTGCTGACATCTCCATTACTCACCGGTCCCTGGTTGCCTGGGATACATCTCTCATGGAGCTTCCTGGAAAGAAAAGAACACACAGTTTTTAAGTTAACTAGCCCAAACTCTTTAATGGCAGGAAAGTAAAAGGTGACCAAGCAGTAAACTGCAAATAGAAACAAACACAAGGAAACTACTCTGTGTGGTGGTCTCAGTTGCATGGGGAGCTCTAAGCTTCCACTGGGATGGCCATCACCTGTCTGCAGCATCCTCTGTCCCACACCTCCCAGCCACATCCATCTACTCCAGCCACACTTTCTGTGGTTCCATTCCCAAACCACAGCAAGAAGTGTTATTCCTAGAAGTCTGATGACAGGGCTGCAAACAAGTCACTCTGTGGGCTGAAGGAGCTGAGCTTCAGACAGAGCTGTGCCGGGTCCTAGCCACTCATGTGGGTGCAACTTAATGCTCTTGGTCATCAGGGGGAAGTTGAGCTCAAGCCTTAATAGCTGTAGACTTGAGAATGCTGAGTTTGGCTGCAAAGTGAAGGTTGTCTCTGCAGTTTCCAGTACCCATTATGTCATGGGTTTTAATTACACAGTTAACTATAGAAGGTACTTGTACCTCACCCAGAGGCTAACAGCTTTGGCTTAAACACATGTGAACCATTCAGCTGGCCTTCATGCTGACACCAATAAGAACTCTTAACCTTTGGTAATATTTTTTTCCATTTTTGTGTCACAAACAAGTAGAGGAAGTTAAATCCAAACCAGTACTTTACTAGTGTTATGTTAAGAACTGAAGTCTTTCCTGCTTAGGTGCCCTGAGTCTGTTTCCTGCAGGAAGGCTCCAGTAACACCAGGCTCAAGGATGCCAGGGATCAGTTTGCACTGACCCACACAGCAGGTTGCCTCTTGTAAGCCTGGGTAATGGCAGATCTTGGCAAAGCACCACATGAGCAGTGAGCTTGTGATTCCATCTGAAATCAGAGCCGATAAAAATGGAAAAAAAGCCAAACCACCCCAACAACCTACTTCATGTAAAACTTGGCAAGAACTACTGGCTTCATAAAGAATGTAGTATTTGCTTATAAAATGGAGCTAGGCATTTGGGATCAACTGATGATGAGCTAGTCTCTATTTCCTGATGTCGAGTGCTCCCACATACCTTTAGAGACTCCTGGGTTCTCCTCTGAGTAGGAAAGATCATCATTCTGCTCACTGGCTGATTGTTCAAGGATCTGCTTGCTGTTCTCAGTGCTGAGCTCATCATTCTCTTCAAGCTGTTTGTTCTCAGAACAAGATTTATCTTGTTCCTTTTGAGTGTCCACATTCGCAGTGTTGGGAGCACGTGCTGAGTGTTCATCTGGGTGTTCTGTCTGCCCTCCCAGGGAGCCCATTTCTGCATCATTGATTAAAGCTTCCTTCGTTGTGACAGGATCAGTAGCACCTGCATCAAAGTGATTTTCATCTGCACTTCCCGTTTCACACTGTGAACCCTGGCAGAGCTGATTGCTATCTTGAAGGACATCATTTTGAGTCTTGCATTTCTTCCTTGGGGGTTCTTCATCACTGACAGATGGTGTGTCTTTTCCCAGGTGCTCCTCCTCTCTCAAACATTCCTCTCCCATGTTTGGTTCTGATGGCAGGCACTCCTGTTGCACATCTGGGAGAGTGGTTTCTGCACCTTGCTGATCAGAATCATCTGGTTTATCCTTCAGACATACTGAATGTAATAGCCATG